CGGTAGTAGTCTGTGACAGGAGTAGAGAGGGAAGCAGTGAGGGCCGACTCAGGATGAGAAGTAGAGACGGAGACGAACGAGGTGGACTAGAACGAAACAGGGCAGTACGAAGGTCAGTGACGGGAACAGGGGACGAGGGATGAGCACGAGGAGAGCGAGGAGTCCAACTGTGAGAAAGAGGAGGGAATGACGGAGGCTGAGAACGAGGGAAAACAGCTGGGGAAGGGTTAGGAGGAGGAAGCGGAGGACCAGAGACGGGAGGAGAGGGGGAGGAGGGAGGAGAGGGAGAGGGGAGACCGAGGGCCCGAAGACCAGAGACAGGAGGAGGAGGCGGCTGCTGCTGCTGCTGCTCCTGCTGCGGCCGTTGCACCTCCAGCTGCTGCTGCTACTCCTGCTGCTGCGGCTGCTCCTGATGCTGCCGCTGCTAGTCACGCTGCTGCTGCTCCTCCAACTGCTGCTGCCGCTCCAACTCTAGGCTCTCTCTCTCCAACTCCAGCTGCTCCTCACGTGCACGGCGAAGACGGGCCTGGTGCCGGGTCGGGTAGGGGTGCGGTCGTGGAGCAGTGGCTGGGGCAGTAGCAGCCCCAGGGCTACCCTCCAAGGCAACGGCCGCACCACCCCCAGAGCCAGCACCACCAGAAGTAACAGGGTCAGTCCCTGTCTCTCCAGGTGCAGCAGAGGGCTCACCCCCAGTCGTAGCTCCCCCAGGGACAACTCGACCAACACCAGCTCCCTGAAGACAAGAGTCTCCTGCAGCCAAGGGCTCAGCTCCAACTCCAGCACCCCCAGAACCAGGACCTCGCACAAGTGCGCTCTTAGCTCCAACTCCTCTAGAGCTAGCACCTCCAGGGTCCTCGCCACGAACACCAGCTCCCGCAGGGTCTGCAGTAGGTTGTGAGGAGGGCTGCGGAGAAGGAGGCTGCACCTGAGGGGCTACCGAGGGGGAAGGGGTAGCGTGAGACACACTTGACAGGGCGGGACCAGGGGGGGGGGAGGCTGTATTGGGGAGCAGGAGGGGGAGCGGAAGCGAGGAAGAGAGGGGGAGGAGGAACCGGGAGACCTCGACAGGGGTACCTGACGTAGTAGGGGACGGACTCGTTGAAATGGACCTTACGGGAGTCAAAGAACCGGTGAAGGGGAGGGTGGTAAAAGGTGAAGTCAGAGGAGTCCTCTGGGAAACCAAGGAAGACACAGGGAACGGCGCGAGGCGAGATCTTGTCCGCGGAGGTGTCGCGAACAAGTGCCAAGCAACCCCAGACACGAAAACGCGACGCAGCACCAGGGGACCCGGTCCAAAGACTAGTCGGTGAAACCACAGGCCGAGACACGTGGCGAGAGGTCACCTGGTGAGCGGCGTACCTAACCGCGTAGGGCCACAGGAAATGGGGGGCACGGGTGTGAGTTATGGAGGTACGAGCGATCTCCATAACAAGACCTATGCGGCGCTCAGCAACCCCATTCTGCTGTGGGGACTCTGGAAGCGTCCAGGACTGACGGATGCCCTGCTCGCGACAGAATCCAGCGAGTACACCTGAGCGAAACTCACCTGCGCGGTTGGAGTGAAGACATCTTACACGACGACCACGAGTGTCCGCAGTGGTAAGCAACCACCTAATCAGCGTAGAAGTCACCTCAGACTTCTTCGCCAGGGGGAACACCGTGGTGTAGCGGGAGTAGTCGTCAACGACCACCTGAAGGAAACGCTCGCGCTCAGGGCCAGGGCGAGAGGCGGGGCCCCAGACGTCCAAGTGGAGAGTCTCAAAGGGCTCGGTGGCCGGACGAAGGGAGGAGGAGTGAGGGGTGGCGCGCAGCCGACCCTCGACGCAGGGACCGCAAGGTGGTGCAAGCAAAGGCGGCAGCGACGGCAAGACAGGCGAAATGCCTAAGACAATACGCTGACGGGACATAGCGCGCAGGCGAGGAATGGACGGGTGCCCCATCCGGTGGTGCCACAGAACGGTGGGGTGGGCAAGCGACCGGCAGGAGCAAGACGCAACAACTGGACCACACATGGGAACCTGACCAGACACAGCTACCTGGTGAGACGCGGCAACCTGGTGAGACGCGGGGACCTGACGGGGGGCAGTGACAGGGGTCGGGGGCAGTAGCTGCTGCTGCTGCTGCTACTGCCGCTGCTGCTGCTGCCGCCGCTGCTGCTGCTGCTGCTGCTCTCTAGGACTAGTGTGGAGTGTGTAGAGACCGGAGCCCGGCTCAGCAGTAAAGGTGGCCAGAGGCTCGTACGTGTCAGCGTCTACACAAACTGCAATCTCCCCACAAGGCTCTATCCAAACACCCACGCGACTACTCACGAGTGGTCTCACACCCACCAAATTCCTAGAGAACGAGGGGACGTGAAAGCTCGTCAGGAAACCCAAGGGAACAGCTGGGCACGGAATCGTAGTAGTGTAGCGAGCAATGGCTAGTTCCGAAGTGGGATCAGCCAAGGCAACAGAGATAGGCGCAGGAAGCGGAGTAAGCGTCGTGTGGTCGCGGAAGAAACAGTGCGAAGCTCCGGAGTCCAGAGTGAAAGACAGTAAAGTGTCCTCCGGAGCAGCTCCTAGACTAGTGTCTACACAAGTACCTACACTAGCAACAGGCACCTCAGCAAGACTAGCACCTAAGCTAACAACACCAGAGTAAACAGAGTCAGAAGCACTAGAGTCAACAACAACATACATAGCATGAGGTGTTCCTAAGAGATCAACCAACTAAGACGCAGACATGCCCGTGCTGCTGAACAAGGGGAACTCAGTCAAGGGCAGGGCCGTCAATGCCCTAGGCCGCACGAAGGGTGTCAGTCAGCTGAGCAAAGCACTGACCAGGTGGGTGGCTGCGGCCACAGGGGAGGCCTCGGCGAGTACCTGTCTGAACGAGGTAGGTGCAGGGAGGTGGACAACACCGCGCGACAGCTGACGCGGTCCTGACCCCTGCCCCGGAACCTGGTGCTGTCTCTGTTGCTGCGGCGGCTGCTGCGAGAGGAGTGGCTGTTGCTGCTGCTGTCGCTGAGTCAGATACCAAGCCGCCACTTTAGCACCTATAGCTGGCAGACCTGCAGGTGCCTGACGAACCCTAAGGTCACCTCCACCAACCGTAGCAGGGGATTCACTAGCCGCTGCACGAGGTGGTCCTCCACCTCCGGCACCCCCGCCACCCACACCACCTCCGCCGCCTCCGCCGCCTCTGCCCGCTCCCTGACCGCCCCTCCTACCACTCCGACCCCTAGGCCGCGTAGAAGCCGTAGCAGCAGCTGCGGTCACGTCAGTAGCGG